TTGCTGGATCAAAACCAGTCACGATTCCACCACTGCCTGTCTGATCTTTCTTATTCCAACACCTCCCCTCTGAGGGCCAGCAATCGTTTGGAGTGTTTAATTCCAGGGGCAGGACTCCCAGCCGCTGGTCTTCTTGAAGATTCATTCCTGCACTTCACAGGCTGGGACCGAAAAGCTGGTTTTTGTGTGTGTGTCTCAGGCAATTCCCCCGTGTGGCTCTGCCACCGTCAGACAGCCCCAGGCTCTGTGTGACAGAGATCCTCCGTGCACGGGTCTGCTCGGAGAGATGAGACAGTTTGCTTTGTTCATTTCACTGCCTCCTCTTTTTATATCTAAGAGCTTTTCTTCCTCCTGTGGGAGATGGCATTGTGCTCCCGGGAGTGCGGTTCTGACGTCCTGGTTCTGCTGAAGGTGGGGGGTGGCTTGGCTGAGATCATGGAATCACAGAGGGGTTTGGGTTGGAAGGGACCTCAAAGCCCCCCCCAGGGCCACCCCCTGCCCTGGGCAGGGACACCTCCCACCACACCACGTTGCTCCAAGCCCCCTCCAACCTGCCCTTCAACCCCTCCAGGGATGGGGCAGCCACAGCTTCTCTGGCCAACCTGGGCCAGGCTCTCACCACCCTCCCACCAAACAAGTTCTTCCCCACAGCTCAGCTCCATCTCCCCTCTTTCAGGGTCCAACCCTTCCCCCTCCTCCTAGGGCTCCCCTCCCTCATCCAGAGTCCCTCCCCAGCTTTCTGGAGCCCCCCCCTTGAGGGACTGGAAGGGGCTCCAAGGTCTCCCTGGAGCCTTCTCTTCTCCAGGCTGAACCCCCCCAACTCTCTCAGCCCCCCCTCCCAGCAGAGGGGCTCCAGCCCTCCCAGCATCTTCAATCCCCTCCCAGTTTGGTGGACCAGCAGCTTCGTGGAACTGCAGCCCCTATTCCCTCTTGGGCACCTTTTCCCCGGGGTCTCTGGCTGCTGTGGCTTCTCCTGGCATCCCTTTGGGGACCAAAGGGCCAGTGTTGGGTGTCCCTTCCCACGGTGGAAGAGTGTCCCAAAGCGCTGGTTTGCTCAGTGCTGATGAGAGCCCCCCTCCCTGAGGGTTACAGACCAGCGGTGGTGCCGGGCGCTGGGCTCTCGGTGCGGTTTGTCCTGCCGTACTGGAAGAGGCTGGAAGAGAACTGGAAACCTCCATGTTGTTTTCTGGGTGAGCTGCCCCGTGTATCTGAGTGTGCCTCTCTTTGTATTTTGATTTTTTCAAGAGCAACCATTAGAGAGCACCCGGGTGGGTGTTCAGCCAAAGCTGTTGGCAGCTGTGGAGTTCTGTGGTTCATCTTCTTGGGTATCACCAGGAACCGGGCTCAATCAGGAGGCTGGATTTTTCAGGAACTGGGTTTTTTTTCCCCAGACATTCTTGCACAGAACCAGCCGCTGTCTGACCCGTCTCCCCCGTGGTCAGCCTTGCTGTAGAACATTTGTTCGTCACCTCTGGTGTTATTTTAGCTTCTCAATTGCTTTTTTAATCCTCTTTCTGCAAGACGCCGTTCCGGCCGGTGGGGCTGAGCTGCGGTTTCCTGGGGTTTGAGCTCCTGCTTGTTTTCACTCCGTCTTTCAGAGCAAAGCCCTGGCAGCGTGGGCGCGACACGTTGGGGTTGCCACGGAAAGACCATTAACGTGCCGTTCCCTCTGGCTCAAACAGCAGCAGAGATGTTATTCTTCCCCATCAGCCGAATCGCTCACGTTCACACCCCGGTGACCAAGATTTGCAGCTTTTTAACCTGTCCTGCTCCGGCACGTTTCTGGCTGGTTTGGTTGTGGCTTTGGGTTGATGTCCTTCTGGCCAAGGGGGTTTCAGAGAGCCACAGGGTCAAGTCGGTGGTCCCGGGCAAGCGTGGCAATGGGACTCTCTGCACTTACTGGCCAGCCTGGTGGTCTTCTCCTCTTTCCTGGCTGGCCCTCAGCCTGCTTCGTAGGGCTGGTCGTTGCTTTTTGTGCTCGGGACAGTCCAGGGGTGGGCAGGGGTGGGTGAAGTTGCACAGAACGGGCTGAGTTGGGGTCTCACGGCTTCGGTAGGAGTTGCCCATCTGTGGGCACATTCAAAACATGTTGGGCAAAACGGTGTCTGACCCCGTTGGTACCTTTTCCTCAGCCCTGATCTCACCAAGTTACAAACAATTGAAAAATCAGCGTTTTCCATCTGTCACTTGACTGTCAGCAAAAACGCGGAGGGCTGGTGTTCTGCCAGAGCACCAAGGGGTCACGGGGCTCCGACGGTGCCTGTGCCAGGCAGTGCCACAGCAGCCGGGGCTCTCCTGGAGGCCACGTGCCCAGCCTGGTGCCACCAGTGCCCTGGGGTGGAGCGGAGGGAGAAGGTCTCACCTCTCCATCCCTCAGAGCGAAAACCTCCCACCCCCACTGCTCTGCCTTTGAGCAATCTGAAAAATCTGAAAAATTTGACCCGCTGCCCATTGGGGTGGACGAGTTCGGGTGATTAGAAATGAAACGGAAAGCACAGGCATGTTCTGTCAGAGTTTCTGGTCTTTATTTGGAAGGGAGCAGGGTGATGTGCCTGCATCACATGCAGATGATGAAGCGCTTTCCGAGCCATTAGTAACCGAGGCTGAGAGCATCCCCCGGGGGGAAATGCTGCACTTTTTGTGTTTTGTGACGGCGTGGTGCTGGGGCCATGCCAGGCAGGGCGCTGCCGTGGGGAAGGGGCAAGGGGTGATCCCCTTAATTACAAACCCATGAGTCTGGTACCAGCTGCCGGCAGAAAACAGACGATCAGATGGTGCAGGCTGTTGATAAAGAGTTAAAGAGCAGAATGTAATTACCAGCCAAAAAACTCACAAAACAAATTTTGTTTAATTCTTTGAGGTGTCACATTTGGTTGATAACAGTTTACATGTAATAGATTTTATAGAACTATAGAATAATTTTTGGTGAAAAAGACCTTTCAGATCATGGAGTCCAACCATGGACCCAGCACTGCCAAACCCACCACTGACCCATGGCCCTCAGCACCACGTCTGCCCGGCTTGGAAATCCCTCCAGGGATGGGGACTCCACCACTGCCCTGGGCAGCCTCTGCCAAGGCTTCACAACCCTTTTGGGGAGGACATTTTCCCCAATCTCCATCCTAAACCTCCCCTGGGGCAACTTGAGGCCGTTTCCTCTTGTCCCATGGCCTGTTCCTTGGGAGAAGAGACCGACTCCCCCGGCTACCCCCTCCTTTCAGGTGGATTTTGTCTGTGTCTGTGTCACATCCCCACGATGGGACCCACCTGGAGAGCGGTTCCCAGATTTGCCGGATGATGGGTCTTGGCAAGAACCTGTCAGTGAGGAACCACCATGGCCGGGGTTTCTGCTGGGTCTCTCCAGGACTTTGCTCATGACCTGACGCTGCCGGGTGACTCCATGTGTGTTGGGAATGAACCTGGATTCGTGGCTCATCCATAACAGACAGGAGGGACCCGCGGGTGCTGGGGACGCCCCTCGCAGCCCTGGGCTCTGCTGCGGTGGGTTCAGGTGGGGAGAAAATCCGGGAGAACTGTGCTCTGGGATTCAATCCATTCCATCCGGCCATCCAGAAAAAAAGATTAAGAGGTGATTTAACCAGAGTAGGCTGGTAATTTCACCAAAATCAAATTTTCTGAGGGAAACATGTGTTTTCATGCAATTTTTATGCAAATTGAATGATTACCGAATCAATTATGATCAAAATTGAATCAATTGAATAATTAAATATTTGAGATAGAACGATTATTTCAAAAGCTTTGTGTCTTAGAAAGCGCTGGTGTTCGTTCCAGCACCGAGCGGAGCCTGCCTGAGGAAGGGCAGCGCAGGAGCCCGGGACTGAGAATTTCTTGATAGTAACATAGGATTGAGTTGGGTTATTTTTTTTAAGCGGTGGGAATTACTGAGCACTGGGATGAGACCTGCAGGGAAAGGCTGAGTTCTCCATCTCCAGGTGTCTGTGAGACCCGGAGCCGGTGGCACGCAGCGGCTGAGCTACAGCGCCTCTGGTCTTGGATTCGGGGTGATGAAACCAACGTTGCGTGGACAACCTAAACCAGGCTTTTGAGTGCTCCACTTCAGGAAACATGAACGTTAACGTAAATGCTAAGAGAAGTGCTCCTATATTTATTGCCTATAAATAATCACTCCTCTCAGTTGTTACCTCATGCCTCGAGTAGCCGTGGTCCCGGAGAGCCTAGCACATTTCCTAAAGCGAGCACCAAAGGGTGCAAACACGGCTGGTTCTTCATGAAGTGGGTGACAGCTAGAAAAGTTGACACCAGTTTTTCCAGCCGTGAAGCTTCCTCACCCCCATTTCACCTAAACCTGTTACCCAGAGTGAGGGTCCATCTTTCTATGCCCCACGGAGACCCTTGGGTTCATTGGTCCTTGGTGGACACCCAAGTACTGAGGTTGTGTTTTCCAGTTCACTCTTGGGTTTGTGCCTTGGGGATTGCCTGGCCTGGCCTCCCACCTGGGCTTGTTGGCCAAGGAACAGGTGCTGCTTGTGCTAAAAATGATGGCAGGGAGGGGAGCCATGGGAAGAGGGGGAAGGGTTGGACCCTGAAAGAGGGGAGATGGAGCTGAGCTGTGGGGAAGAACTTGTTTGGTGTGAGGGTGGTGAGAGCCTGGCCCAGGTTGGGCAGAGAAGCTGTGGCTGCCCCATCCCTGGAGGGGTTCAAGGGCAGGTTGGAGGGGGCTTGGAGCAACGTGGTGTGGTGGGAGGTGTCCCTGCCCAGGGCAGGGGGTGGCACTGGGGGGGCTTTAAGGTCCTTTCCAACCCAAACCAGTCTGGGGTTCTGTGATTCTCCAGAAGGTTGTGGTCACTGGTAGGTGACATCCCACAGGGACAGCTTTTAAGGAGGACGTGTTGGGCCATAAATCCAGATGCAGAGATGCAAAATGGTCTGGGTTTGTGGTTTGACAAGCCTCGGTCTCACCCTCTGCCCGCTCCCTTTGTCACCAGCCGCCCTCACACCGCGCTCTGTTTGTGTCCTAGGTGAATGGTGTCAACGTGGTGAAGGTGGGGCACAAGCAGGTGGTCTCCTTGATCCGGCAGGGGGGGAACCACCTGGTGATGAAGGTTGTCTCCGTCAGCCGCAAGCCAGAATCAGAAGAAGTTGTTCGGAAGAAGGGTAGGTGTGGGGTCTGAGGGCTCTCTGACGGGGGGGGCTGTGTCACCTGTGTGTCAGCCGGCGCGGAGCAGCCCGGGAAGGGGCGGGCGGGTGGCCATGAGGCTGCTGAGCTGCAGCTGGGGAGGATGGAGGGCACCGGTGAGGGGATGACCTTCCCATCTGGGCACAGAGACCTGGGCACCGGGACACGCTGAGTGGCACAGGGGGGATGGGGTCGGGGGCTGTGGCAGAGCACTGCCACCAGCGCTGGCACAGCCGGGCACAGCCGGTGGCTGCCACCCAGGCCTCCTGCAGGTCCTGTCCGTGGCCGGGCTGTGGGACACCAGCAGCTCTGTTGTCCCACCAGGGCTGTGTGTGCCCAGCGAAGGCTGGAGCCGGCTCCTCCGTGATGCCCGGCAGGCTGTGTGGGGGAGCAGAGACCCCCCCCCTTGCCCTGAGGGGGTGTCATGGGGAACTGCCCCCTGTTTTGGGGTGTCATAGCAGCGAGCTGGCCCCGCAGTGTTGGGGTGGGGGGTGATGGAGAGCTGCCCCTGCGAAGCGTGGGGCTGTCGTGGAGCAGGACCATCCCTGCGTGGGGTGCCAGGGTGGAGGACAGACCCCACAGGAGCACAGGGGGTGCCAGGGTGGAGGACAGCCCCCGTGGCGGTGGGGGGGGGCAGGGTGGAACCTGTCCTCTCTGGGGAACACCAGGGCTGGGAGCTCCTGGGGCCACGGCCAGTCCTGGGGCTACCGGCCCCGTGTGGGACTTGCCCTCGCTCAGGGGAGCATGGGCGGCCGTGGGGCCCCCCAATGGCTCTGGGCCCCCCTGATGGCTCTGGTTCTTCACCCCATCATCCCCCCAGGAGATGTGGCCGAGACCCACAGCCAGAGGTGGGGCTGAGGGGGAGTTTGGTGGCGGGCTGATGTGCTCATGGCCAGGGGGATAGGGGGCATCTGGCTGAGGAGGGCAGGGGCACATCTGGAGGGCAGCTGGATGGGAGGCAGCCAGCTGTGTACGGGGGGGCACATCGTGGCATACAGCTGTGGAGGACAGGGGCGCATCTGGGGACAGCCAGCTGGGGAGGCTGGAGGCACATCTGGCAGCAGCTGGCTGTGGAGGGTAGGACCTCATCCCAGGGCAGCCAGAGGTGGAGCCCAGGGGCACATCTGGAGCAGCCTGTCGTGTCCCCAGGCTGTGTGTGGGGAGGCAGGCTGTGGGGCAGGGGGCTT